AGAGCTGGACAGCCGCGCTTCACATAGCCGTTAGAAGTTCGGTATTGGCTCTTGGAATACATGCCTTGTGTCTAGATTTAGGTCGCAGTCTCGGATAAGGCTACTTTCTGATTACCCGAGACGCGGCAGAAAAGATCGAACGGGTCCAAAACGTTGCTACCAGGCTCATCCCGAGTTTACGTGGCTTTGGGTATGAAGACCGGTGCGAGAAACTAGGACTCTACACCCTGTCCTACCGTCGGGTGCTAGTCGACCTCATTTGGACCTACCGTATTCTACATCTCGGTGACTTCCCAATGCTAAGGCCAATGCTGCAACTACAAGATCCATGCAGCACACACGGACACAGATACAAACTTGTCGTGCCGTATGTGAAATGTGTTCCCCAACCACTGTGCTTCGAACGGAGAGTGGTAAACATTTGGAACATTTACCTGAACAGGTGATTGAGGCAACATCTGTGCAACAGTTAAAAACCTTGTTATATTTGTATTTTACACTATTCGATTCAGAAAAAGACTGCACATTTACGATGACATATCACATTTGTGAATCCTGAAATATTGTAAGTCAGATATTTTAAATGTTACATGAGAACGACAATGATACTCACGGTTGACAAATTTTATAACGTTTTTCACCATTGTACAGAATCCATTTCTACTTGCTCTATAATACATTTTTCAATATTCAATTGGCTTTGAATCATTCTCATGTCATTTTTATCATTGGGACAGTATTATAATGTAGTTTTTCGGAACGGCATTTTTAAAATATGCGCTCCATGATAGATGGGTTCCCTCCGGATTTGGACTCGTCATGTGCAGGTAAATTGACATGAGTCGGGAGCCTAACATAGTGGTTGATCACATTCTACTTAGTCTCTAAACAATAGCGTAACAGATACAAATACCTGAATAATCTACCATGTAATTACAGGATCGGTTAGGTATATTTACCGGTAACACTAGTTTCAATGCACCCCTAAATATATTCACTTTTTGCTGCGTCTCACTGCAAGTAGCATCCAGATGTATTCTATTTCCTTTCTTTCACAAACCGTATATTCTTATAACTGATCTATGCAATGTCGCGACAATGTGCCAGTGGAAGTAACGCTCCCCTTTTACAATAATCGTCGCATTGGATTGTTGCATATTTTGTGACGGTTTCACGGGTAAATACTAGTCATTTTAGTTTTACATGGGTAACTCACCCGTCTGTCGTTAGGATGCCTCATGCTGATCAAATAAATTTGATTTTCAGCAGGTTAGACTTCCAGGAAAGTGGTAATATTTAGTCGATCTAACTGACTTTCGAACTCAGGTTTCTATCATAACCTCACCAAAGCTCCCTTGGTTTCATTGTACCGCTCAAACGTATATTTCGCTTTCAATCGCTTATATTATAGAGATGCTAATGGTATGTGAATAAATCGTGGTTCTTTCGGATCAAACATAAACAGTGCCAAAAATAAGATGTGGCATTGTCCAAACGCATAAGAAAATGCAAGAAGGAAATACATCAACAAATGCGCTCGGTTGGAAAAAAGCGAGCCTTTGCAAGGTATGCGATAACAGTAAACATCGCTGTAATTTAAACCTACAGACGTATCTCGAAAACCAAAGTCATCGTGTGGAATTACACAGGCGCTTCTTGTAGGTCAAACTCTAAAGCAATAACAAGTTCGTTGTACCGCGCGAATAGGGTGAGATGCATTACGTTCCCAGGTGATTTCATGGGGTTTATTGTACCTTGGTATTTGTGTGCATATGCTGGAATGATCGGACGACAGGCAAGTATGACACATTGAGCAAGTTATGTGCATTGTTAGATAAATAATTAAAAGGCTTTATTTCCCAATGGGTGCGGTAAGTTTTGGAACAGTGGTCACCATACAGGTGTTAAAGTTTGGTTTGCATAAAACCGTGCCTGGCAGCGAATCTATAGATAAGCGGGGTTTGGCAAGCAAATTCTAATCGCAGTTTAGAAGATTGTGCAGATGCCAGTTATTGTGATCCAGTGCATGCTCCAATATCCAAGTATTTCATTGCCTGGCATTTATATCTCAAAGAAATGCATTGTTTAATTGTTTAAAGGTGGATGCCTAGGCAAGAAGCTTCTCGGTTGATGGCAGTCTACGAAAATGCGACTACTTTCATGTACACCAATCAAACTGAGATAAAACGCTTAACTCCATTTTCGTCTTTTAGATGAAGAGTATGCTAAAGCAGAGGCAAAGTCCTTTTGCACAAAGCTAGCCACGAAACACAGTACGCTATAACCATCAGTGACACAAAATGAGGCGTGGTGTTCCGCAAAGCAAATGCTTAAGCGCAGCCCACACAAATCCCACTATTGCGATTCCATGACAAATGTGGAAACCCCCTTATCGTTTAACTGTCTAACGCCAACTTAACAGATGGGCCGTCTTATGTTTTCTTAAGCAGCGCTGGACTTCACTGATCCTCCTCCGTCAATCACATTGACTCCCCACATGTGGGTGGCTCAAAAAGTTAGTGTCGCTCAACCAATTGGTGCATCGAGATGGTAAATCAGTTATTGTGTGCATGATAGAGATATCCTCCAATCCTTGAACTTGAAAGAGTATTGTGGCAAGTATATTACTTAGGTGCGCACCACAACCCCATGAAATATCGCCTAACCACCATTATGTTCCAACCAAACTGCTTACTACTGATTGGTGAGCGTTGTGACACATTCTAAGCCCGTAATTTATCTTCCGATGCCAATTTTTCAATGATGACATTCCACTACGGAACTGTACAGACCGTTAATGTATTATAATTCCTTCGATAAGTACTAGACTACTAGTATAAGTCAGCATTTTCAAACCTTTTCTTTACCCTGAGCAAACCCTCGAGAACAACGTAATTCTGTGTTCCTAAGTGGGAAGATATATTTAAGTATTGTTGAACCATACGCATGTCATATGCAGTCTGATAGAAAACAGCTGATTAATCCAATGCGAACACCCGCGCGTTTCAGAAAGGTCATGCATGAATTGCATGCAGAGAAATATTTGATGCCCCACGTAGGCTTAACTGACCTTCTTGACACTTTATCTGCTCCTTTTTCAAACACTTCATTTCTGTTAGAATCAGCTACCTAATCTATCGTGAATTTGTGTCTGACAGCCAAAGTCAATGATGTTTAAATGCCTAACAAGAGCATTGTTGTAATGCTTAACGGCTAAACAGTCCCTAAGCTGATCGAAATCCATTCGCATTAGAGTGCATAATATTCGAAATGCACTGAGTTTACCAAACCGACACAATGGTTCAGGCAGCTTACTTAGGCATTCTGACTTAATGTACCTCAGTAAAACCTAGTGTTCCTAATGATTCAAAAAAGTAATTCTCACGTTCACTACCTCATTCGTTCGCCAGCAATTGCGTTCGCGTCATGCGGAGGAATGCATCAACATGGTGAGTACAAATTCGTGAAGTGTGTGTCTTGAACTGAGCACTACAAACGCGGTGTTGATTGTATGTTAAGTCATTTACTGCGTCATTTGCGTCTAAGTTAGTGTTTGCTTCAGAATTTCATAGTAAAAGCAACCGGAATTGTAAAGCAATCGCAGAACAAGCGGTGCACGCGCTGCTGGCCAGAATAACCAAGTCCCCTCTACGCGAAAACCTTGCGAAACAGTTTGCGTTACAATCTTTACTTCCTTTTCGCTTGTCCTTACAGTCAGAATGATAACAGGAGTACTCTTAAAGGATGGTAATCCGCTACCAATACTACGTAACTTTGAATTGGAAGACCATCCACCAGCTAGAGAGTTTGACGATATCTGCAACAAGGTAAACAATATTCCATTGCGTTTTTTATTAAAGGCACATAGTAATCACATCATCGTAAAAATGCTCTACAAATAGTATGCCTCGTCGGAATAGGTAAGGCTTATCTCTCCCTCCAACCCACAAACTGACCTCATGTCTGAACTTTTCGTCTATGCGTGATAACATTTGTTCCGGCTGCTCACTGTAAACATGCTACACACTGATAAGCATTATTTCCCATGCTATTACAGCTGCGCGCCTCAATTTCTTCCAAGACTGGCGTGCCATATGATACGGTCGGATGTTGCTTTACTTCATTGATTGCCCCTCCTAATCGAACTCACGTCACTGTCAAGATAGAGAATAGAGGAACTGCTACACTGCGCAAGTTCGAATGGGAATTGTTCTTGGAACTTGAAAGAAGGAGAACTAATTCGACCACCATGGACTTAGAACTGCAACCACACTACGGTAAATTGGTCCCAATCATTGAAATGATATTTCGACACGCTTGCGTTTTTTATCACTATAGCTATCTTTGGAAAACAATAGCGTTGCAAAACGTAATACTTGAATTTATCAATATTGCCGATTTTCCGTGGTTAGCGGTCACACAATTAGAGTAGATCAAATCCGATATTATCATAGTGTACATATGCTTAACAAGAAGCCAAAATTACGTATGCCCTTTGAATTAGTGTTCTTATAACGAGCAAGCTGATAGCTGTATTCTTTTACAGAGACTGCAACCGGTGATGGGTATACAAGTAAGTTTTTCTACCATTCCGAGATACATAGCAAACAATGACAGCTAGACTACACAGGTTAGCGAACAATCCGTTACTCCGCAGCTAGTCTCACTTCTGCACTTAGTGGGTACCACCACAGTCACAACCAGACAGGCCTTAGTCCGTGGGAACTGACGCGGCAACACAAATTAACGCATCTCACATCGTTCATCAGAGTGAGCAAGTCCAAACAGATAACTACTTTCCCCACTGTATGTCACTTAATGGCCGGTATCACAAGTGTAATTTTCCTATCGGCACAAAAATATTTTGGCCAATCGATCAGCGGTTTTCACATAGGTTGTAAGCAGGGCACAGCACCGTACAAAGTTACTGAGTATAACACGCAAGTAAACACAAGCACCTACATGATGACCACCACAAACAAAAGTATCAGTCAATGTATACTGATAAAAACAACTGTTTTTCGTGAAGTTTAGTATGTGTATATTATTCAGACTCCTGATACTGACTCTCTAATTCAGCCATCCGAATTGCCATGGGATTCTTCGGAGATAATTTGATGGGCGAATGGCGCGGGGTATATGGCAGTGCAACTGAGGTGATGGATATTGCGGAGACGACCTGTTCGAAAGTAAGCAACAGTTTGGAGTGCATTTACAAGCCATTTGCGCGGGTGTATTCAGCGGGGTGTCTAACGATTATTGGAAGACGGCGGTGCCCAAACAGAGTAATTGAGGCAATGAAACTGCTCACCAGATAATGCCCCCTTATTTCCCAAATCAGAATAGACTCGCAATAATACGCGCTCGATGAGCTACTTAGAGCAACTTGCAATTTATTCGCTAGTATTCTATTGGTTCTTGCTTTGGCGTAATCGTTGCAGTTTGGCTTACAATACATGACAAGCATTGAGTGAATTTGAAACTTTGCACAACAAATAACTTTAAATTCGCAGAAACCATACCGGTTACTCTTTGCTATGTTATGGACCCCGGTGACCGTATGCACACATGATCGGATAAGGTATAATCTATGGCGTTCCTTATCAAATCATTGACTGAATAAAGTAACCTGATTGAAGCATCGTTGCGTTGAAATTCATTGGAAGAGCGCGGCATGTACAGCTTTGTATGCCCTTGATTTCAACACGTCTGCAACATCGCATCCTCTTTGTACCCCACGAGTAGATCAGTTTGATTGCAAGGTTGCTTCATAAAATAAGATCAATAAAATGTGGAGAAAATAGATAATCTATTCACAATTTCTAACTCATAGTTAAGTATCTCTCATAAACGATCAACTATCTTGCAATACATTCGTCGTACTTATGAAAATATCAAACTAATTTCACTGGCTCTCTTGAATTTACAAGTACGAGAAATGGGCTAATACGGAGAAGAGATTGGGCTACAAGAACTTTAGTTGCGTTGTAACCGGCCAACGCTGGAGATTTATGAAAGGGGTCTTTTTCTTGCACTACGAGTCGAATGAAGCGGATGCCACCTCATTAACGAATGATGCCTTGGAAAATCCAATCATAACGGGAGTTGGTAACGAAATCACTGCTTTGTCAATTGAAGTCCTAACTGCTACATGTTAATGTCATTAATAAAGACATCTAACCAACATCAAGTTCTTGTGCTGATTAGGGCGGACATAAATTTTTAAATTATGAAAGCCACCGTTATACCCTAGCTGTGTGAATTACAGTATTTTCCTTAACTTATTGGTTGTTTGCAATCGTGCCCAGTCGAAATAGTATTAAAGTACAAACATCTTTGTTCACAGCATATACATAATTACCTGCAACTGTGCGTTTAGCAAGCCGAACACTGCGTTGTAAGTCACACATTTTCGTCAATAACTAACGACCCTTCTGAGTTGATGAGGTTTCCCTTAGGTTCAGCTAAACAAACGTTGAGTACCTTTCACGAATTTCGGCCAAACTAATCCAATACATGAATAGGTTATGCCAGTTTCTTAATGGCTCTCTGGATTGCAAGTTTGGTCCACCCATTCAGCCGATATGATAATCTCTTGTCTTTAATCTCCACATTGATATGCGCCAAGTACACGTTAGCATTTGGCGTCTTCTTCGCTGTATCTGCAGCCGCGTACTTCAAGCCACACGCCATAGGGCGCTCCACTCCCAATTACATTTTTGTCAACGGAGTCACCTCAAATGCACTCGATTTGTTCTGAGCGTTTTCCCTCCAACAGTTAAATCGGATAAACTTGCACAGAGCTTTTCCATCACCACACCTTCCTTCCACCGCTCTAGACCACGGGGTACTGTAGTTAAACTATAAACTACAAATATACCTAAGCCCACACTTCCTCCCATTCTTTTGGCTGAGGTGGTACTCGTGCCTCACGGTCGTAGTAGAGTTTCCGGGTGATCCTTGTTCTTCCCAGACTGTTATGTTGCCTCTATTGCGGTGGCGAAACTGAGCGCACAAGTGTAGCAGATGCCGGCATCAGCGTTCTCGTACTTCGACTGTATAGATCGGCACTAGGCTCAAACCGATATCTGCTTTAGGAGATTAGTGGCTCTCCAATAGAACGAGATACGGATCTCTGTGAGTAGCTCTAGTTTTTGTTGAAACTCGTTTGACCTGCTTCACTGCCGCTTCTACCTTTCTATTCCATCGATTATCTTATGGGTTGGTCTGCTGGTGCGGGCATTCCCATGGCTTTTTCATAGGCGTGTAAAGCAGCGTCGGCTAATTGGGAACCATCATCATGGACTAGCTAATCCGGTAGTACTTGCCACGCGAATTGTTATCTGATCTCAATTAGCAATCCACAGTAATTAAGTACTCTCACTCGGTGTCACAGAGGAAATCCACCCCATTTTCGGTTACGTTCGACCAGGGATTCAAGCAGTATCATTGTTCCCCTCGTTTATCTGATTTCGTGTGAACGAAACGCAACGAGTTGACCTGTAGTTCCTGGCCGAAGAGCAATTCTCTTGCGCGGTTAATGATATAAGTGGCAACCAGGTGAGCGCGATGGATGTATCTCAGCATTTCTTCTCGGTGAGTTGACAGCATCCGAACACGTCCTCCTTTGAAGAGCATAACATCATAGATAGAAAGTTGATCACGAAAAGTAAAGTAGGTTGTTGCCTGCAGCAGCTGTTTCTTTGTCAGTCGCTGCCTATTTACGATAACATCTGGCAAATCTATAAATGGTTCACCTGCCTGCATGACAGTGGAGGATGCGTCGGGCTATATCGCATTTAGCTAACAATTCATGATAGTCAGATGCCGTCCTCCATGGCGCAGTTGCATAAGCTGAGGGCTAGTTGGCAAGAGCCACTAGCAGTCATGGGTTCGATCCTCCGCAGAGGACCGAAGGATGCGCACCACTGATGAACCCCAATAGATCGAAACGGCCGTCTGGTGCTTTTCCGGATAGCTGGTCGACATATCTGACTTGTCGGCTGATTGCGACGAACAAAAATACTCACCAAAATCCTTCCATTCATAAGTAAATGGTTCACCTGCTTATGCATGACGCTCTATTGCTTTTAGTCAAATTCCTTTACGAAAGGATGCTGTACTAGGTTTACTGCCTCGGTCACTTCCCGATAATACTCGGCCGCTGTCAAATGAGCTCTTGACAGCGTATCCCGATGAACAGCTGTGCACTAGGCGCGTACACAATTTCCTCGTCCTACGTTTGAAGCCAGATAAGCATGCGTTAGATACGATGAGGAACGGTGTGTGGCGGCTTACTGGCTATCTACACAAACCGGAAGTTTAAAAAGTTGTGTATCTTCCTAAATTAAAAATCTTGCACCAATCCATAAGATAGGCAGCCTGAAGGACTTCATTCCCAATCTGCGAATAGCGTCGCTTGGTCACGGTGGATGCTCAACTGCATACAACAAACTGTTACCATTCTGTTAGATAGCAGCACCTAGTTGCTCGTCGAACAATCCAAACTCAGACTAGCGGCTGGGAGATCGATCACTCCACACTCACTGACGCTCCGTACGCGCCACTTTGCTAAATACAAGCGCACTGACGATGTCACCTCGAGTGGTGACGAAACGTTTGCAGTCAACCTGCCAAGCTCAGCGAACACTCAGACAACCAACTGAACAACCTGAGCTACCAACATTTGCTTCTATATCGCAGCTATTCGGGCGTACAACGCTTCAGCAAGCTCGCCGTTGGAAAACTTTGCCTGTCGACGAGCTTCCACACGCGAGCAACTATACTTCCTCCACGAATGTCTGAGACGAAATGTTCTGCCACCTAGTTTAAACCACAGACCGGCGTTAGATCATCCAGAGGCTTGGGCTTTAACAAGACAATATGGGATGCGTATGGTCAAATTAATGATAACAGATGCCCATAATCGCCTTCGAAAGTATGAAAAGGTCATAAATGACAATAAAACGGATTGCCTTATTGCGATGGGACCCCAAAAACTTGCAGAGCTTGAATCCGCGATTCAACGTCGAGTAAACAACATCAGAAGGCAGCGGAAGGCAGGAACTCAAGTTGAATAAACTTACGAGAAAGTCTGACCACTCCAACAGTGAAGGCTGGATCAAAAACTTGTCGAGCCGTCAACTCAGCACAGCGGAGGAGAACATACTAATCAAAGGACTAAACTTTAACGCAAAAGATGCATCATATAAGGATTACTTGGCTAATCTGGAACAAGTTTTGAACACAAACGGACTATCAGAAGAATCGCGGCAGCAAATTAGACAAACAGTTGTCCCTGCGATAACTCGCAACAAATTCACACATACTCTTACATTAGAAGAACGGGAAGGACTCAGGCTACAAAAGGAAGACAATATTGTAATCCTACCAGCTGAAAAGGGACGCATGGCAGTAATAATGGATAAACCAGATTACGTTGCCAAAGCCAAACAACTCTTTTCAGACACGACCACCTTTCGTTCCATAGATCAGGACCCTAGTACAAAACTGAGTACTCAAATCAACACAGCATTGAAGAAATTACAAGCAACGAGTGAGATTACCAAGCAGGAGCGATGGAAGATGAAAGCTGAGGATACAAACATTGCAAGGTTCTATGGACTGCCAAAGGTACACAAAGACGGAGTCCCATTGCGTCCAATCGTCTCGTTACCAGGAACCCCATCTTAAAATTGGCAAAATGCATGTGGAAGAAATTAAAACATCTAATTGCCGGTTCTGAACCAAGCATCATCAATGCCGAACAATTCATCAACAAATTGAAGTGTGTTACAATAGAGGAAGATGAAATCGTGCTGTCGTTTGATGTCACCGCGCTCTTCACGTCGATCAGTCACGAACTTTCAAAAGAAACCATGCTGAAATTACTTCGAAATCAACCTAACACAATAGGAAACCTCAAACCAGAAAGCATATGGGAACTCTTGGAACTCTGCATGACTACTTATTTTTACTTTGATGGGCAAGTATACCAACAACTAAAAGGAACGCCCATGGGATCGCCCATCTCAGGACTTATTGCTGAAGCTGTGATGCAAAAACTGGAGAGCATCACAATGCCGTTAATCAAACCCAAATTATGGATCCGGTACGTGGACGACACGTTTGTCGTCATCAAACGAGACTCCATACAGAATACCCACGAGTTAATCAACAACACATTCCAGGATATCAAGTTTACAATTGAACTCGAAAAAGATAGCCAGTTACCATTCTTAGACTTATTGGTCCAAAGAAACACTGACGGAACACTTCAGACATGTGTATATCGAAAGAAGACCCATACCGACAAAATATTAAACTACCACAGCAACCATCCACTGAACCACAAGAAAAGCTGCATTCAAAGCCTTTTCAATAGGGCCGAAACACACTGCAGCACGACAGAATTGAAGAAGAAGGAAGAGAACCATCTATACTAGGTATTGCAAAACAATGGATATCCAAGAAACTTCATCAGAAGAAGCTTAAAGAAGACGGTGCAGCAACAACAACAGGAAAACGTAGATAAACGGGTAGCGCTTCCTTACATCAAGAATGTATCTGAACTAACGTCAAGATTGCTACGACCACATAGAATCTTGGTAGCCCACAACCCAACAGGTACTTTGCGAAGATTGCTTTCAAGACCGAAGGACAAAGTTAAGCAAGGCAGTCAGAATGATGTCATCTACAAAATTAATTGCAAAGAATGTGACAAACACTACATCGGGCAAACTGGAAGGAAACTATCAACACGGATTAATGAACACAGAATGGCCATACGGAGACAGGACCCACATTCATTGGTTTCCATGCATGAAGACCAAGAAGGCCACCATTTCGACCTAGAGAACGTCAAGATCCTAGCCCGTGGAAATTCGAGGCAAGCTAGAGAATTCTTAGAAGCACGGTACTCTACAGACAGTTCAATAAACCGGCACGTTGAAATAGATGCTATATATACAACATTACGGATGAAAGATCCTCGAATTAGTAGAATAAATCTAACAGAACAGAGCGCTAGACTTCTGCATCAAACGACGACATGCGAAGAGTCACATGCGCGTACACGACGAGGTGAGAATCAGAGATCGATTTCTATGCTCATGTGCTCGTCGAACAATCCAAACTCAGACTAGCGGCTGGGAGATCG